GGAGATCTCAATTTTAAACTGAATGCTGTTTGAAAAACAAAATCATTACCTGTCTGACAAATGATTTTCATTTGGCTTTGCCCAAAAGCGCATTTATATGCGGTTGTGAGATGGTTACGGTGTTTGGGACAGGTGCCTGAGACCTAACCTGGCCATTGCAGAAATCGCAGGGCTCACTGCCTGGAAATTAATGCATTACCATGACCTAAACTTTCTTAAATGAATCTCTAGGGCAAACTAGTCTGCGAAACACCACAGCTTATAAAAAAAATAATTGCTAGTAAAAAAATAAACTGCAGCACAGGTGTTTGATACAGTTTCTAAAATACCTAATTCAAAAACAATGTAATGCCTTTTGCAGTTAATGAAAATGGTGATGTATTAACAAAGCATGCGCTCGGCATAACGCAACCATCGTTTTTTCTTCCCAGTCTTTTGCCATGTCAGTGCGATATATACGAGTGTTGACTTGGGATGTAACACACACACACACACACACGCACCCGATTCACAAAATGCTTCTGTTCCTCCCATTTGCAATGCTTTAAAAATGTTAACACACAGGGGTCTGAAATCTGGAGCTGGAGTAGAGTGCTTCTCATTCTAAGCGGCCTGGTCTTCAGTGTGCCTTAGGCCAGATGTCAGCAGGGCAGTGTTAGTGGGGCTCTGTGGGAGACGGAGCGCCGCGCAGCAGCAGAGGGTGGGGGCGTGTGGAGGAGCGGTGTGTCCAGCGCGTGGGCGCTGCAGCAGCGCCGAGCGATGGGGAGGGGGTCGGGTCCGAGCTGGAGGTGAGGGTGTCCTTAGAGTAAACAACCCTGCGGGCTTAACGTGTTGGCACCTGGCGTGAGTGTGGAAGGAAACAGCTGAAGCCCTTGGCGGCGCTTGGGAGCCTTTTTCTCGTTAGAAGCGCGCGGTCAGCCAGGAGGGAGTGGTGAGGGCAGTGTGCTGGTGTGGACCGCGGCCCCTGTGACTGTGCGTGGTGGAGCAGAGAGGAGAGGAAAGGCGTGCTAGTCCCCCTCTGCCTGCTGCCTCTTTGTTCCTCAATGTTCTTGCTTAACCAATTGGTGTTTCTTTTTTGCAGCATTATGATCCCGGCCATGTTGTGGTGATGGTAAACTTAGTGGTAATTTTTATTTTTCCCCGATTGAATTGTTCTTTTTTTTTGTCATCAGTGCACAAATACAATAGGCTTAAATTCTCTCTCTGTTGTAGCCTTCATTCTGCTGCTTGGTCTCTATTGTTATAC